CTGGGCATGTCCACCCGGCTTTGTGTCTGCACCTGCGTGCGGCGGCCACCTGCACGGCGCCGAGCCCCTCCCGGGCCCTGCAGCCGGCCCTGGCCCGCGTGGTCTGGGTCCGGGGAGGGGGGCGTCCCCAATGCTGCGTCTCCAGCCCGCGGGACGGCAGCTGGAGCTTAGGGTGGTTCGAGGGACCCGGGGGCCGGAGAGGTGAGGCTGAGCAGGGTGGAGGGGTAGGTCAGGTGGGAGGTGTCGGTAGGAGGCAGGAACTGCGTCCCCCTGGGTCTGCGTGTTCTTCGTCATTCCTGGGTGTGCAGGCGTGTACATCTGCGCGCACCACACATTCAGGGACGCTTGCACAAGTGTGCATCTGCCTGACCCACTGGATGGCATTTGTTATGCACTGTTGTGCACCTCCTGTGTGCCATTCACAAGTGTGTACCTGCGTGCAGCACCGTGCACACGTGTGAATTCTGCTCTCTGTACCCCTTCCTCGAGATGCCAGGCCACGTCCGCGCACGTGTGGGAGAGCTGCAACTCTGGACTGGCGTGCTCGGTGCATGGTTTGAGAGACCCAGACTGGTGGTGGGGGCATGCACACATGTGCACGTGCCACCTCTCTATGTGGATTTGTGTACTTTGCTTACCATGTCACTATGCACACAGTCTGTGCGTGTGTGTCCCAGCAATGGGTACACATGCCTATGCGTGTGTGTGCACCATATCCCTGGGTATATATATGTCTGTGTGTGCACTGTGATGCTGTATGCACGTATGTTTGCATAAGCATCTGTGCCATGCCTCTGCACATGTGCTTGGTCATGCGTGTGCGTGCATGCTGGGTGTCTGGGGGCCTGCTGGCAAAAGGCCTGTGCGTGGGTGCACCAGTGGGCCTCAGCATCCCTAGAGCATGCCGCTTGCACAACCGCCTCGCAAAAGAGTCAGCAATGAAGGCCTCAGGAGCCCGGGGAGGGAGGGCCAGTGGTCTGCCCAGAGAGTGGCCCCAGGACTGGGCAGAGGGTTGGGGTGATCCTGTGTTCCTTCATCTTCCGTTGCTGACTAATGGCGAAAGGCGTCTGAGTGGCTTAGGCACCCCGACCCTAGGCCCCCACTGTTAGCCTCTGACCTCAAGGCCCTCAAGGCCTCAAGGCTATGGGGGACGGTGAGCCCAGGGCCTCTTGGTTGGGGGCTTGGTCTTGGAAGAGGCACCCTAGCTTCACCCTGAAGGCTCGTGCTCCCCCTCGCCCTGCGTGGAGGGTTCTGGGCCAAGTTTGCTTGGTCGGACGGGGTGCCGGAGTTCCATCGGCCTCTGGGTCCCCTGCCCACAAGCAGCTTGCTGGGCCTGTGGGGCCCAGTGCCCCTTTTGGTAGGGAGGGGCTGCCCTGGGAAAGTGTGGACTGAGCCTGGGGTGGGGGCAGGAGACTGGAGTCAGGGGCTGACCCTGGTGTTGGGTCCACAGGAGCTTGGCTCAGTGGGTTTTAGGGTTGGGCTATGATGTGCCTAAGGTTTGAGGGTCTCCCCAAGGCCCCTGTCCACTCTTCCTCAGGTGCCACTGAGGAGGTGACTTGAGCTCCCTGGCGGTCGGCTGTCGAGTGGGCCAGCGTAGGGCGGGCAGGAGGTGATCTGTGATGTGGAGCTCGGCTGCTGCAGCCCTGGGAAGAGGACCTGCCTCTGTGCTCCTGGCCTGGGGAGGGGCTGTGATGGCCACAGGAGTGCCTGCTGCCCACGGGGCACGGGAGTCTGGGTCGGGTTCCAGGGTAGCTGCCTGGCCCTTGCTCAGTGTGCCCCTCCCCCGGGTGGGGCTTCAGGCGCTGAGTCATGGCTTTGGAAGGAGGGCCGGCCTTTCCCTCCTCCCCATTCTCCAAGCTGCTCAGGAAATCCTGGACCGAGAGCAGGAGGGGGTCCCCGCTGGTCCCCCAGGGCTGGGGAAGGGAGAGCTGAGGGGGTCCCAGGATAGGGTGCTGGCTCTTGGGGCCTCTGCTGAGTGCCCACCTAGTCCCCAGGAGAACGTTGGTCAGCTCCTGGGTGCAGCCCTGCCTTTGCTGCCTCTGCAGAGACACAGGTGCCCCCAGCCCCAGGGCAGGGCAGCAGCTCTGAGTGCAGCTGTCTCTGGCAGCGGCTTAGGCAGATGGCCCTTTCTCTGTTCTGGGACCCCCTGAGGGGGAGGGAAGAAGCTAAGGTAGTGGTCAGGGTCCTGGGTCTGAGCCTCTGTGGTCTGCCACACTTCCAGGTGGTGTGGGAGGGCAGTTCTCCTGAGCGGGGCAGGCCGTGGGATTTGCCGAGGGCACAGGCCACCGGTGGTCCCAGTACACACTACAGCGAGATCTCCTCTGTCTCCTCTGGGATTTGGGATTTGGAGTTCCCTTAGCCCCTGGGGAAGGGGTGGGGGCTGCCCCCAGAGGAGCCCATGTCCTGCCAGGGTGGGCAGGCAGGACCTAAAGTCCCTGGTTGGGGCAGCCTGGTGCCCTCAGCCCTCCCCCCATCACTCCCAGCCCCTAATTGAGGACACACCAAGCTATGCCCCTTGTGACCTGCAGGCTCCTCCCCCAGGCATGGGAAACCTTGGAACATGCCCTCCCCCTGCTGCTAGACCTGGCGGCCTCCCCTCTGCTGGATCCACCCAAGACCTGTCCCTGGAGGCTGGCCTCCCGCCCCAGGCCCAAGCTGCATGCCCGGTAGTCCCTCGTCCTCAGGAGGCCAGAGGGGCCCAGCTTGCCAGCTGAGCCGATTGTGTTGTGGGGGTGCTGCTGGGATCCTGGCCCTATTTCCCCATTTCCTGTTCCTGAAGTGGGGGGATCACGTGCCGATCCATCTGCCTCTCTGCCTCTCGCCTTCCGGGGATTCTCCTGCTGGTGGCTTCTCTGGTGATGTCATGTGTTAACTCTTCCCTCCTCAGGCAGCCCCATTGTCAGGCTGCCCTGGCGGAAGTGGGTCCAAGGAGGCCAGGAAGACGGCTGTTTGATGTTTTGAGGTTGGGGGAGCCAGGGGAACCTCTCCTCAGCTGGTCTGGGGGGTCCGCATGGGTCCAGGGTCAGCTCTGAGACCTGGAGAGGAGGGGGCCAGTGAAGCTGGGCCCGCCCCTTCACGGGCTCCACCTCTGTGGGTTCCCACAGCTGTCCCTGTCCCTGCCCCTGCCCTCCGGGGCTGATAGCTTTTCTGGCCAGTCACAGGCGCAGCAGTGGAGACCAGGCTGGGGGTCACAGTCAACTCTGTCTTCCTGCCTGGGGTGGTGGTGGGTGGGTCCTAGTCCTGCCCCCGCCACCAGGGCAAGGTGTCTGCCCCTCCCAGTCTCAGTTTCCTGGAGGTCCCTTCCCATGCAGACCCCCATGGGGAGGTGCAAGGGGAGATGGAGCCCGCCCGGCCCCACAGCCGCGTTCTCATTGCAGGGCCACCATCGATGAGGTGGAGACGGACGTGGTCGAGGTCGAGGCCAAACTGGACAAGGTGCGAGGCTGGGGGTGCACGGGGTCAGCGCCGCTCTGCGCCCCACCCTGCCCAGCCTGGACCTGGGGTGCCTGATGCAGGACCCGCCCTGGGACTTGTTAATTGACACCCACCCACCTGTGTGTGTGTGTGCACATGTGTGTCCCATGTGGGCTGTGCACAGGGCCCGCTCTGTCCCTTGTTCATTCATCTGTGTCCTACCACACATGTCCCAGGGCGCACATGCCACACACACACGGCTGACCCTGAGCCTCATCCTGTCAAGGGGGGGTGGGCCTTGGTGAGTCTCTGCCCCACCGCGTGTCCGCCTGTCCCCTCCGCTGACTGTTGGGCTGGGACCAGCTGCTGTGTCAGAGCCCTGCCTCTCAGTGAGCAGGTTGGCAGCCCAAGGTGAGGGCAGGGAGGGGGGCAGAGGAAGGCCAGTGTCCAGGAGCCCCCCTGGCTGGTCCTGCAGACCCTGGCTGGGGCCACATGCTACACTCCAGCCCTGGATCCTCTGCTTGACTCATCTGTCTGCCCAGCCTGCTATTCTGTCCTCGAGGCACCAGGCAGGGAGCGTGGGGTGTGGGGCGGCTGTGTCCCAGGCTGTAATGGGCCCTGAGTTGAATTCTGGCCACCCTGGATGGGTCCCCACCTTGGGAGCTGTTTCCTCCCCTGCGTCTGGCCTGGTGGTGGTGGTGAGGGCAGGCATGAGGGCTGTTGGCTTGGCGAAGCCACAGTCCTCACCCTGCCTGCCCCATCCTGTCCACAGCTGGTCAAACTGTGCAGCGGCATGATTGAGGCCGGCAAGGCCTATGTCACCACCAACAGGCTCTTTGTGAGTGGCGTCCGCGACCTGTCCCAGCAGTGTCAGGGCGACACTGTCATCTTGGTGAGGGGCCACCTGCCCTCTGACCCCAGCCTTGACCTCTAACCTCTGGAGGGCGCCCAGGCCCAGGGAGCAGGCGGGTGTCTCTGCTTTGCCCAGGGGCGGCTGGGTCCTCTGGGGGGTGGGGGGTGCCCATGGCCTTGGCCCCCATATCCCCTTCTTGGCATGGATTCTCTACTCTGCCTCTCCCCAGGAATGTCTGCAGCGGTTTGGAGACAGCCTGCAGGAGATGGTCAACTACCACATGGTGAGCTCTGCCAGCATCTGGGGGTCCCGGGCTTGCTTATCCATGTCATTCTGTCCAGGCAGCTCCTTACTGGCTCCCCGCAGGCCCCGCCCAGCCCGGAATGGGGCTTGGCTGGCTCACAGGGTGCTGAGCTGGCGGCAGCTGCAGGGGAGGCCACGTTTCTGCTCCAGTCGGGAGGGGGGGCACCCCCATGTCTGTGAGTCAGTAGAGGTGGGGGGACCTCACTGGGGGCTCTGCCATGTTCCAGGGGAGGGCCAGACGGGATCCTGGGGCCAGGCTGAGGGCAGTAGGGGCTTAGGGATGGGGAGCCCTGGGAAGTTCATCCAGGGTCCCCCCAACTGGAAGGGGCTCTCCATCCCAGGCCGATCCCGTGGGGCCCAGCATTAGTGTGGACAGCCACACAGAACAGGGCCCAAGACACACACGGATCCTCAAACTGTGGTCTGGGAACCACAGCCATAGACTGAGCAGAGCTTCCTGCAGGGGAAGTTCAGAAACAAGCCAGCTCAGGATGGTTTACCCGCCCAGCCCTCCTCCACATGGGGTCTGGTTCTGAGTCCATTCCTGGGAGGAGGCCCCGGAAGCCCCTGGAGCTCCCCCAAACCACCCCAGCCCGCTCCCCAGGCCCTGGCCCGAGATCCTCCTACTGCAGGCTGGTTATCCTCTGGGTGACTTCCAGCCCCAGGAGGCTGCGGGTGTCACCCTGTGCTGCCATGCGGGCCGCTGTGGGGTGGGGCCGTAGGAGGGGCCCATCTGAGACTGTGTTGGCCTCTAGACTGGACAAGAGCCAGGTTGAGGGATGGGCAGGTGGTCACAGCTGTCACCTCTGGACACCAACCTAGGCCTGGGGGCCGCTCCCCTGGCCCCTGAGAGGCAACTCTGCAGGGGTAGCATTGACACCCCCCCCCCCCCCCCCCCCCTGGAAGGCAACTCTGCAGGGGTAGCATTTACCCCCCCCCCCCCCCCGGGCCTATGGGCAGAGTCCTCTGCTGGGGCTCAGGCAGTGCTGGGCACGGCTTTGCCTGGTTGTCACCTGGGCGAGTAGGGCCTCATCTCTGTGGTCATGTGGGGGCAGAGCATAACAACCCCACTCTCTCGGTCCCAGATCCTCTTTGACCAGGCGCAGAGATCCGTGCGGCAGCAGCTTCACAACTTTGTCAAGGAGTGAGTGGCCCCCAGGCCCCCAAGGGCCACCAGTGCCAGGGAGTGGGGGAACCTGGGATTGTGCTCCATCTCCAGGATGGGGAGGAGGGTCTGGGACCTGTCTAGGGGGTATCTTGGGTTGAGGACTCAAGGCTGTGCAGAGGAGGGTCAGCCAGGGCAAAGGCTGGGACGTGGGACTGGGCTGGGTTGTGGAAGCAGGGGTCCCAGATCCATGCCCACATGTGTGGTTGGGGTGCCCAGGGGATACCCCAGTGGAGGAGTCAGGCTAATGCTGAGCACCTGGGCAGGAGTCGGGGTGTGGCTGGGCTTGGCAGATCCAGAGAGTAAGGTGGTGAAGGCACAGGGGTCCTGGACGAAGGGGAGGGGAGGGGATCAGGACAGCAATGGGTGCAGGGGTGAATGGGGGCCAGGGTAGTGAGGGGAGGGAAGGAGGCCCTGCGCTGGAGCAGAGGAGAGGCCAAGAGTGGAGAAAGGGTGTTCACGAGACCCCAGGGCCTCCAGGACCCTCTGCTCCTGACCTGACGCTCGCCCCAGGGACGTACGGAAGTTCAAGGAAACCAAGAAGCAGTTTGACAAGGTGCGGGAGGACATGGAGCTGTCCTTGGTACGGAACGCCCAGGCCCCAAGGCATCGGCCCCACGAGGTGGAAGAGGCCACGGGCGCCCTCACCCTCACCCGAAAGTGCTTCCGCCACCTGGCACTGGACTACGTGCTCCAGGTCAAGCCCGAGGCAGTGGGGCGGTTGGCTCCTCAAAGGTGGGGGGGCGCCCAGGCAAAGGCCCAGAGGTAGGGATGAGCTATAGGAAACGGGGCCTCGAAGACCTCTTACGGGATGCTTTGGAGGGACTTTGAGCAGGGGTGGAAATTTCTGGCTTCACCCCTGGGTGGGACCAGATGTCCAGACATGGGAAGGATTCCAGGCCCAAGAGCGGATAAAGTGGGCACAGTGCAGGGAACTGAAGATGACTTGGGGGCCTCAGGGAACCACAAGCAGCTCAGGTCGACTCAGGCAAGGTTCAGGCCTTGAGTGAACTTGGCCCTGAGACCCCATCTGTTCACTCCTCCTCCGGCAGATCAACGTTCTCCAGGCCAAGAAGAAGTTTGAGATCTTGGATTCTGTGAGTGCTGCAGGGGGTTGGCAGTGGGCACAGGCACGTGCGGTGGGTGCTGGGTTTGGGCACACACGGGGCTCCCCTGTGCCCCTGCCTGCAGATGCTGTCTTTCATGCACGCCCAGTACAGCTTCTTCCAGCAGGGCTACAGCCTGCTGCACCAGCTGGACCCCTACATGAAGAAGCTGGCGGCCGAGGTGAGCCCTGGGGAGAGGCAGGGCCCTGGCTGGGGTCTCAGGGAGGGGTGCCCACCACCCTCCCTGATGCCTCCTTCACAGCTGGACCAGCTGGTGATCGACTCTGCAGTGGAAAAGCGCGAGATGGAGCGCAAGCACGCAGCCATCCAGCAGCGGGTGAGCCCAGCAGCCCTGCCTCCCTGCACACTGGGGGGCCACTGGAGGCCCCTGCCCCCACCCCTCCTGCCCCGACCTGGGAGGCCCATCAGGCACATACACAAGCTCCGCCCTTCCTCCCAGGCCTGTCCTCCTGCCCACCAGCCTGGCCCCGCTCACACCCACTCTGCTGGGCAGAGGCTGCTTCTCTGGAATGTGCAGAGGGAGGGTCCCCAACCTTAGGGGCCTCAACATGATGGGGCCGGGTGCGTGGAGGGGTGGCCCCCTCGGGCTAGAGCCAGGACCCGGGATCTCCTTCCAAAGCCATGGTCGCTTCTGTGGCTGGCTCCTTCTGGGGCCTTTGCTCACATGCTGGACAGTGGCCCTGGCCACCACCCTAGGCAGAGGTTGGCTGCGGGGCAAGAGTGGCTATTTCAGGACAAGAGAGACCCTGGTGGGAGTTGGGGCAGGCGGTCATGCCTGGGGAGCTGGGGGCCGTCTGTCACTCACCAGATCTCTCTTCTTCCACCCCCTCCTGCTCTATCCCCTCAGACGCTGCTGCAGGTGAGTGAGCGACCTCCCTGGGGTGCAGATGAGGGGGTCTGTGGTGGGGGAGAGCCATGCGGGGTGTGCCTCTGCTTTCCCCCCCATGGGCTCCTCAGCACCAAGGACACCTCCCACTGCCTTGGAGCTCGAGGCTGCCCAGAGACTGAGCCTGGACCACGTCCCCTGTGGGAGTGGCAGCGGCTGTCCCTTCCTGCCCCCACTCAGCCTGGAGAGCAGGTGTCCAGGCCTCTCCTCTGCCACCCTGGCCTGCTGGACAGCAGGACACAGAGGACACTCAGTGGCTCCTGGAGCCTCCTGAATGGGGCTCTGTCAGGCCTGCTTGGATCAGCGCAGCTGGAGACATGAATGGGATGCTCAGGATGTGGGGGGGGCATGCAGCTTCCTTCCTGATCTCAGCCTCTCCCTATAAGACTGGAGGTGGGGGCTGGAGCCCTCGGGACCCCAGCTGTGAAAGTGAGGTGTCTGCCCCATGGGGTTTTGGGGCAGGGGTCCTTGCCCAGATCAGGAGGTGGCTCTGGTGAGCAGAGGGTCTCCCATCTGAGCCTGTGGCCCGTGGGCCTAGGTGCAGGGTCCTCTGGGGGTGGCCGCTCACTGAGGGCTGGGCTCTGTCCTCCCCAGGACTTCTCCTATGACGAGTCCAAAGTGGAGTTTGACGTAGACGCGCCCAGCGGCGTGGTGATGGAGGGCTATCTCTTCAAGAGGGCCAGCAATGCCTTCAAGACATGGAACCGGTGAGGGGCCAGAGGCAGGCTGGGGTGAGGTCAGAGTGCACACGGGCCGGCTGTGCCTGACTCCCCTCCTCCTGCCCCCCATCCACTGCCAGGCGCTGGTTCTCCATCCAGAACAGCCAGCTGGTCTACCAGAAGAAGCTGAAGGTGCGCTGTGGGGCTGGGGACTGGCTGCGGCTGGCCAGACCCCTCCCCGCCCGGACTGTGGGGGGCTGGCTGGTGGGCGTTGGCACATGGCTGAGGACACTAACAGGCACCACAGCCTGAATGGTCAGAGCATTGAAAGCAGATCGCTGGGGTCTCAGTGGTCTGCTCTCTCAGGTTCAGCAGTAAGTGGGTGGCTGGGGCCGGGGCAGGGTGAGCGCTGGGCCATGGTGGTGCTGCCCACAGGACGCGCTGACGGTGGTGGTGGATGACCTCCGCCTGTGCTCCGTGAAGCCCTGTGAGGACATTGAGCGGAGGTTCTGCTTTGAGGTCGTGTCACCCACCAAGTGAGTAGGCCGGGCCCAGGGTGGGGCGGGGGATCCCTGCCCACCTGACCTGATGGTCCCCTCCGTCCAGGAGCTGCATGCTGCAGGCTGACTCAGAGAAGCTGCGGCAGGCCTGGGTTCAAGCTGTGCAGGCCAGCATTGCCTCTGCCTACCGTGAGAGCCCAGACAGCTGCTACAGTGAGGTGAGGCCCTCCCTGCAACTTCCACACGCATGTGCACGCACCTGTGTGCTGCAGTGAAACGGCTCCTGCAGGCTGCATGTGAGCGTGTGCCTGCTGTGGTCGTGTGCACGTGGGTGTGCGCATGCACACATGCATGTGTGGCCTGTGCTGGCTCTTCGGGCTGGAGAGGAGGAGGCTGTAGCCCCTGCAGGACCGAGCAGCCCCTCACACCCTCCCCCAGAGGCTGGACCGCACAGCGTCCCCATCCACGAGCAGCATCGACTCGGCCGCAGACTCCCGAGAGCGCAGTGCTAAGGGCGAGAGCGTGCTGCAGCGTGTGCAGAGCGTGGCAGGCAACAGCCAGTGCGGTGACTGCGGCCAGCCGGACCCCCGCTGGGCCAGCATCAACCTGGGCGTGCTGCTCTGCATCGAGTGCTCGGGCATCCACAGGTGCCAGCCTTGGGCAGGCGGGGCCGGGACTCAGGTGTGCCAGCCCAGACTCATCCCCGTCCACTTGCCCTCCAGGAGCCTGGGCGTCCACTGCTCCAAGGTGCGGTCCCTGACACTGGACTCATGGGAGCCAGAGCTGCTGAAGGTGCGTGTGTGGGTTCTTGAAGGCTGCTAGGCCCATGGGGGTGGTGGGAGCTGGGGCCTCCAAGCTCCACCTGTCACCCACACGCCCCATCTCCTGCTAGCTGATGTGTGAACTTGGAAACAACACCGTGAACCAGATCTACGAGGCCCAGTGTGGGGGTAGCAGGAAGCCCACAGCCAACAGCCCCAGGTGAGGTGGGTGCCGTGCAGCCCAGACTGGCCAGGGGAGCCCGGCCTGTGAGTGCAGCCTCATGTTTGCCTCTGGTCCAGGCAGGACAAGGAGGCCTGGATCAAAGACAAATATGTGGAAAAGAAGTTTCTGCGGAAGCTGCCCACGGCACCGGCCCGGGAGGCCCCGAGGCGCTGGCGGGCTCAGAAGTGCCAGCGCCCCCACAGCTCCCCCCGTGCCCCCACCACCCGCCGCAAGGGCCGGCTGGAGCCTGTCCTGCCCTCCATTGCTGCTCTGTCTTCAGGTGGGAGGGCTGCGGCACCGTCAGCTCATGTCATAGGATAGGACCAGAGAGAGGTCTCCCTCCAGCCAGGGGAGGAGCCACCAAACCCTGGGCGCTGTGGCAGGGGTGGGTGGGCTGGAGGCAGGGACTTACAGGGGCGCCTCGGAGCTCTGCCCAGCTCCCAGCATGACCTAGGGTACCCTGCCCCCCCGGGCCTCAGTTTCCCCATCTGAACACGAGACCCATTCCCTGGAGCAGGCACTTTGGAGCGCAAGTTCCGCCGGGATTCCCTCTTCTGCCCAGACGAGCTGGATTCCCTCTTTTCCTACTTCGATGCAGGGGCTGCTGGGGCTGGTCCACGCAGTAAGTGCCGGTTGGGACCCCTTGCGGGTGGACTGTGCGGACAGCACTTGCTTGGGGTCAAGAAGGACAGGTGTTCTATGCAGGAGGGACTAGGCTGGGGTGGCGGCGTCCCAAGGAGGCTGGTCTCGGGGTGGGAGGATTTGGGGTTTAGGGCTGAGGCTGGAATGACATCTCAAGGGGCTGTGGGTATCTTGGCCGCTGACCTGAAGGCTGAGGCCATGACCACGATGTGTGCAAATGTGTGCATGGGCTGTGTGCACACAAGTGTGTATGTGTGTGTGCTGGGGGGTCAGCGTGTGTGCACTAATGGGGTGACGAGGAGGCGACTGCGGGCAGCAGAGGGCGCTGCTGCACCGGCCCTAGGCCTGGGGCTCTTCTGAGGCCCGGAGCGCTTCCCGGGCTGCCTGGGCTGCCTCTCCAGGGCTTGGCGAAGACCCCAGCGCAGGTCAGCACCACGCAGGACCTTCCAGCCTGCGCTGGCTGCAGAGAGGGCTGAGGGCTCACTCAGTGGGCCACATCCTGCTGAGGGGTAAGAGGTGGGCTTCGGTGTGGGACTTGCTCCTGGATGGACGACCCTCGGCTCCTTTGAGCTGTTAACTTGGTTTTCTCTCCTTTCCTCCCAGCTTGGGCAGGGCTCCCCTCTGCCCCCCAAGTGGGGGCTGATCCTGCCCTTGGAGAGTCCCCTGGAGAGAGGATGGGGTTCCACCCTTCCCCCAGGGTCATGGGAGGAGTCAGGGACCTCCCAGCTCAGGACCCCCTTCACCATGGGTCCTGCAGGTCTGAGCAGTGACAGCGGCCTGGGGGGCAGCTCCGATGGCAGCTCAGATGTCCTGGCCTTCGGCGCGGGCTCCCTGGTGGACAGCGTCACTGAGGAGGGTGGGTGCAAGTCTCCTAGCTCACTGCAGCCCCTCCCCAGCCCTGGGGTGCCCCTGGCCCCCAGAGTTGTAGCCCTGACTGCCTCCCTCCCTGCAGAGAATGTGGAGTCAGAGGAGTCCAGCAGCGAGGTGGACGGGGACGCTGAGGCAGAGGCCGAGGGCTGGAGCCTGGCTGACGTGCGTGAACTGCACCCTGGGCTCCTGGCACACCGTGCGGCGCGCACCCGCGACCTCCCCGCGCTGGCCGCGGCGCTGGCCCATGGGGCCGAGGTCAACTGGGCCGATGCGGAGGACGAGGGCAAGACCCCGCTGGTGCAGGCTGTGCTGGGGGTGAGTGCCGTGGGGGGCCGCCTGTCCCTGGTGGACAACAGGCTCAGTCCCAGAAGGGGGCTCCCTGGGCTGGGGATCAAGGTGCAGGGGCCTGCGAGGGGCCCCCTTTGAGCAGCCCCGGCTCCCCAGGGCTCCTTGATTGTCTGTGAATTCCTTCTGCAAAATGGAGCCGATGTGAACCAAAGAGACAGCCGGGGCCGAGCACCCCTGCACCATGCCACACTGCTGGGCCACACTGGGTGAGTCCCCGCACCCCTCCCGTGCCTGCTCCCGCCCGTGGCACCCGGGCCCACTCGACATGCCCCTCACCCCTCAGCCAGGTCTGCCTGTTCCTGAAGCGGGGGGCTGACCAGCATGCCCTGGATCAGGAGCAGCAGGACCCACTGACCATCGCGGTGCAGGCGGCCAACGCTGACATCGTCACACTGTAAGCGCGGCCCTGGGGGCGGGGCGCCGGGGCGGAGGGGTCACCCGAGGCTGGACAGGGCCTCACCTGGCGCCTCTCGCAGGCTCCGCCTGGCGCGCATGGCCGAGGAGATGCGTGAGGCCGAGGCACCCCCCAGCCAACCAGGCCCCCTGGCGGCCAGCAGCCCCACGGAGCTCCAGTACCGCCGGTGCATCCAGGAGTTCATCAGCCTCCACCTGGAGGAGAGCTAGGGCCGGGCAGGCCGGGCAGCCGCGGGACCCCTGCCCCGGCCTGGACGCCCTGCATGCCCCTGAAGATCCCGGCCCGGCCAGGCTCGGCCCTGCCCGTGATAACCATGGGCCCGTTTCCGGCAGCCCCAGTGCCCAGGCGCTGCTGGAGCCCCTGCTCGCTGCCCTTCTCTCCTTCCACCTACCCGGACCCCCGGGATGGGAGAGGGACCAGCACTGAGTCTTTTGAAGCCCCACGTTTCCGGAGCGTGCTGCACCGTCTGGTGTCCCTCACCCCACCTGAGGACCCCGTCTTCAGGTGACCCTTCTTTGGGGGCCTGGGTTGCTCACGTCACAAACCACTCTCAAGACCCGTGTCACCTTGTGCCCCTGTGTCCTCAGGGCCTGTGTCACCTCGTGCCCCACTTTTACCACCCCAGAACACTGACCTATAAGCTGGGTCCTTCCCCCACACCCCAGAACTCCTAAGGCCCTGGGGCTGGTGGCTGGCCACCAGTACCCTCCCAGGGCAGGAGGGACAGTCCATCCAGGGAACCAACCCGAGTACCTCACTTAGTGACCCTAGCATCCAGGCTGGGCTTTCGCGGGTGCTGGTGGGTGGGCCTCTGGCCTGGGCCCTCAGCCCTGGCTGGATGCAGGCATCCCAAGGCCACGTGGCTGGCCACGAAGAGCCCTGGTGTGGCACAGCCCAGACCCATTCCTGCCTCCCCTGGAGGCACCTTGTCCCGGTCCTTGGCCCAGAGCCCATGCATAAAGCAACTTTGGCACTTTCCGCCCAGCATCTGATGCTCTTTGTTACGGACTGCAACTGTGTGGGTTTTGTACACACTGAGTGCACTCTGTGTCTCACGTCTTTCCTCTGTGGACTCTCGAGGACCACCTTGGCCCAGCTCTGCCCACCTCACCCCCTGTGCTGGGCCCTCCAATGGGTCCAGGGGTCCCCCGGCCCATTTCGCAGTCCCCACTGATGTCTTCGCACCTTTTTCTGAAGGAGCCCTGGGCAGAGGCTGGCCCCTTCCCAACAATGGTCTCTTGGTCAGGCTGAGGCTGGTGGGAGGGTCACTATGCAAACGCTGCCCAGGAGGCTCCATCGCTGGCGAGGTTGGCACTGGACTGGGGCCCCCAACTCCCTTGCCTGCTGGCTGTGACCCCTAAAGAGCAGAATTAACCCCTTCCTCTCCCTGCTTGAGCTCTGCCCCACCTCCCACCCCTCTGGGCCTTGGGCTGGCGGGACCCATGCCCTCCTGCCCCGATCGCTCACTGTTAATAAACCTCTGCTGCTTGTGCCTGCTGCCTGCTCATTGGCTCGCACGCTCACTCTGCTCTGTCTCAGCAGCGGGGGAGGTCTCTGGGTCCCCTGCTCTCCCCAAGGGGCAGCTGTGAGTGGGGTAGCACGGGTGTCCCTTCCCCAAAACGATGCCACTCAGACTTGGACAAGCTGCCAGGGTTCTGATTGGGGCCTGGGGCTTCTTTGACAAAAACTGACTCCCGACACCCCCAGCCCCTATTCCCTGGCCCCTCTACCCTTCTCTGGCCTGGACGCCAACCGGTGAGGATGGCCTGGGGCTGGGCTTGTCCCTGGGCGAGCCCTGGCCCCGCACCCAGTGTTCCTGTGCCCACTGGCCGCACCATGTGGTCTGCCCCAAGGAGGTGTCAGGTGCGGCTGGAGGTTTTCCGCTTACCCAGGCTTAGGGTGATTGGGGAGGTTCACACATGCACTAACCACCAGGTAGAATCACGGGTTTATTACAAAGCAGCCCAGACTCTTCTTCTTGGCTGCCCTGAGGCCACCCTTACACTGAGGCAGGCTCCCTGGTGTGTGCACACAGGTGTGGACAGACTCAGAAACATGCACACACACACATGCCAAACACACACACACCACTGTGCAGAGGCACCTCCATTCACACGCATGCACACGGTCACACCTGGAACAAGAGAATGTAGTATGGTGGGGACACTCCCCTCCTCCCTGCTGTGGCCTCCTCAAGGCCTGAGAGGCCACCACCAGGCAAGGTGGGTGGGCTGATGAAGGGCCCTGATGCTTGGGACATGCCTGGTGCCTCCTGCCCACGGCCGGGCTGTGCTGCTTCCAGGGCAGCCAGGGGAGCCCACCGGTGCCACAGTTCCCAGGATAGGGCCATGCGATTGGCTGGCCTTGGCAGAGCTGGTTCAGGTGTCAGGAGTCTCAAGGGGCTGGAGCTCAGCCTAACTCTTCAGCCCAGACTCCCGCCAGGGCCCCTGGAAACATCTGTGGGAGACGAGGCTGGCCGGGTCCCTGGACATCATTTGGTGTGCCTGTAGACGGTGGGCATACGCCAGCTTCTGGCATGGTGTGGGGTGCCCCCAAGGCAGTGCTGGCCCCACGGAACCGGCGGAAACCCAGAAGCAGGGCAAGGGCGGTGGCGTCCAGCAGCAGTTCCAGCAGCTCCAGGACAGAGAGGACAGACGAGCCAAACCACAGGCTCCAGAGGCTGCCCATGGCCGAGAGCAGCTGTGGAACCTGCGGGTTGGTGGGCAGTGAGGGGGTTGGGGCCTTGTGCACCTGTGCAGCCCCCTGTGCAGGGCCTCCGGTGGGTGTGGCCAGCGCTGGCCCTGCCCCCGCCCCAGTCTGGTCCCTGGGCTCACCGAGTACACGGGTGTCTCATCCACCGTGCGGTAGTTGAGCTCCTGGTAGAAGATGTTCACCTTGGCGACGTTGCTCCTGGGCAGGGGCAGGTTGTGATGGGCTGGTCCAGGGGGACCTTCATGGTGGGATTGCCTCCCCAAGGGCGTCAGAGAGCCAGGAAGCAGGGGCTTCCTCTGGCTCTGGCCCCTGGGGCCCCGCTCGCCAAGCACAGCCAGGATCCAGTCCTGCACACAGAAGTGCCCCATGCCTACTGCTCCGTGACCCTGGCCCTGGCGCCGCGGATGGGTGCGAGGGCAGAACCACAGGGGCACAGGCTGGGTCAGCCCCGGCCCTGCCTCTGTCAGGGTTGGGCTCTGTGGGACGCTGAGGCTTGCCTGGTTGCCCTCCCTCCCCCCTGGACTCACAGTGGACTTGGCAGAAGGCCACCGGGAGGTGCCAGCGAAGAGCTTGAATGAAGACTCCCTGGGGGGTCAGACCGGCTGTCACACCCTGCTGTGTTACTGAGGGCAGTGATCTCTAACCCCCACCCCAAAGGCCCCACTCACCTGCAGGGCCTGGGGCAGCGGGAGGAACAGGGGAGCCGGCGGGTCTCCAGGTCCTGGTGGAGGCGATAGAAGCAGTGTCCTGGGGAGGGGTCCCAGGCGGGCGTTAGGAGCAGCCACAGTGACCCTGCCCCAGCAGCCCAGGCGGGCGGTGGGCGGGGCTCACCCCAGGCCGGGTGCCGCGCGTAGCTGCAGTACTCAGCCCCCACCGGCAGGGGGTAGAAGTAGTAGCCGCAGGAGCAGGTCTCTACCATCAGCTGCTGGAAGCAGGACACCAGGCAGGCCTGAGGGGACAGCAGGACTGGGAGCTGGGGGTCGGAGCCAGCAGTCCCTCCGTGGGACTCTCCCCCGCCTTTCCCGGCCCCTCCCCAGCGGCCCAGCCTCACCTGCATGGTGTACGAGGTGTTATACAGCAGCAGCACGTCCACACCCTCCACGCCGTCTGTGCAGTGGCCGTAGGGACTCCCGAGCCGGTGCACCTCATCCTGAGGGGGAACTTCAGTACTGCCCTAAAGGGCCCACCACCAACCCCCAAGGCCCCACCAGGCAGGAGGTCCCAGAGCCCAAGGGTTGGCCTTAGAGGCCGGCCCACCTCCCGGATGCCAATGGTGGTCTCTGTCCCTGGCCGGATGCTGAAGCCATGGTGCTCCAGGAAGGGCGGGTGGTGATGCCCGTGAACCATGACCTTGATGCCGGCCTCAGTGGACAGCAGAGGGAGGTGATCCTGCTGCTCAGCCCTGAGCACCAGGCTGATCCCTGGGGAAGCCGAGGCGGTAGCATGAGGTCACTTGGCTGGTGCCCTTGCCCACACGCCTGCCAGGGCTGGCACTCACCATGGGTGATGCCGGGGCGCTGCGCAGTCCAGTTGCCATTAAAGGTGTAGCAGCTGCCATAGGTGGGGTGGTGGAAAGTCTGGAAGTGCCTGGAACCCAGGGCCACGCTCAGACCATGTACACCTGCCACCAGGCACCCCATCGCATGCGGCCTGTGGGTCACAGCCTGCCTCATCTCTATAGGTAGCTGCTTGTGGCCAGCCTTGGGCAGCTCCCAGTGTCCAGCCAGCTGGACCCCAGGTGTGGGACCACGCTCTGCTGGGAGGGCAGAGGGGAGTGGACCACCCAGCCCTGCCCCACTCACCGGGCCTGGCAGTCCTTGCTGTCATAGCGGCAGGAGAAGACAAAGTGGCTGCCGTGGCTTTGGTGGCTGTCCTCATGGGCGGTGGGCAACAGAGCCAGGATGTTCACGTAGTGGAAGCGATACCACTCCCGCACGGCTGTCACGCCGGACGAGTAGGCGCGGTAGAAGCAGTCTCCGCCGGTGCTGTTACACTGGAAGGGAACGAGTGGGTTCTGCGGACACAGCCCCTCCCCTGCCCACACCGAGCACGTCCTCCCTGGTGACGCCCTACGGGGTCGGCACACCAGGGGCCCTGCCTTGTCTGGGGCCGGGGACACTCACCAGTCTGAATCCCACTTTGTACTGGCTGCCCAGGTGGCTCAGCCTCTGCAGCTGGATCCTGCGGTCCAGCTGGAAGCCAGGCTTGGGGCCGGGGATGTCGGCAAAGGGAGTGTCCCTGCCCCTGCTGAAGTTGAACTTGTACAGGGAGTAGATGTTCTCCTGGGCAAACTCATCCAGTGCCTGCAGGTGGTGGTGGATGGTGCTCGGCCTGGGGGGGCAGGGCCAGAGCGTGGGGGTCCCCAGGTCAGTCACCTGGGCACTCCTAGGGACAGCCGCACCGAGCCCACATGGCAGTGCCCCATCAGTCGCAGTGCTGCACAGCCTCTGTGTCTCTTTGCGGCCATGAGGATGTCTAGAGGGGGTTCTGAATCCGCAGCTGGACTCAGGAGCTCCGCTGGCTGCAGAGTGAGGCAAGGTCTCTAGCCTGGCTGCCCCACAATGTGGGCGCCGCTGTCCCCCTATGTGCTTGCGGCCCCGCCCCATCTTGGCTCCCGCTACTTTCCGGCCTGGAATGCTGCCCTGCTCTCCTTTCCTAGGAGGCCCTCTCCAGGGTGGCACTGGTCACCCCGAGCTCCCCTGCAGAGGCATGAGAGGCCCTGGCTGGACACAGGGTTAGAGGGAGGTGGGCTGTCAACAACCAGGCTACCTGAGACAGGAGCTCCCTCCGACCACGCCCAGGGTGAGGTCCCGAGGCTGCAGAGGTGAGAACTGGGGAGCCCATCCCTCACACCGACCCTCACCCTGGCCCTCACCGGTGTGGGTTCATGTCACACAGAGTGACCAACGGGAAGAGCTTGCGCTCCGAGTGCACAGACACTGTCATGATGACCGGGTAGCGCCAGTACTGCTCGAAGAGGAGCCCGAACTGCCAGTACAGTGTGCCCAGGGCGCCCAAGAACAGCAGCCCCCAGGACGTGGTCTTGAGACGGTTCTGGTTGGAGCAGACAAGGCGGATGGCGCCGTGGATGGTGGCGTTGGCGCAGAAGAAGGTGAGCAGCTCCCGGAAGGAGCCATGCAGCTCCACCAGCCTCTCCCCGCGCCCCACCTCGGGGGGATTCCAGGTCCCGGGTCCT